AATGGAAGGAAATATTAACTGGGACTGCTGCTGTAACTAAATGTTAGGTTATACTCTGAAAACAGGAACAAAAATGCCACATATTAAAAACCCTAAGGTTACTTTTTTATTTCACATTGATGAGGGCAGGAGTAAAAAACAGCTGTGGAATACCTGAAATTTATGTCTCTGGTGTGTTCTTTAAAATATGGTTGAGAAAATTCAGTGGTTACTGTGTATGTGTCTTGACACCTCTAACTATTCTTCTCTTATGCTTTCATAAACTCTTTTACTGCACCCGAACTGAGGTCCAGTCAGTACTATACTACTAGAAAAGTGTGTGTGTCTGGTTTTCCTTTTCTTCTCCTTTTGCCTTTTCAGGTTCCTCTGGCTGTTTCTATAACATCCCTACTGCCATCATGCTGTAGTGCGTTGATATTTTTGATCATCATCTCTCTCTCTTTCAGACATATAGATCCCCCTAGCAAGCAACATGTAATCCCTACCATACACACATGTGATGATTGCTCTTAGACCCCAGGGAAAACCCTTCAGACTAAATAGCTCAACTGTTGTTTCTCTCTTGTGCATTTCTTAGTGGATGAACTTCTGCACTCTTGGTAAAATACTTCGTAGCTATCAGAAAATATCGATTAGCAGTCTCTGTCTCAGATGCATGAACAAATCAAGACTGATCTGCTCCATTGATGTTTACACCACAAAAAGAAACCCCAGGCCTACCATCCCTCACCCGTGTTGTAGAGAGCTTTCCATCTCTTCAGTGGACTGTATGATTCTTGTATATGACATATCAGTTGTCTTTAAAGTTCTTCATTTTGCTTTTGCTTTCTCAAAATTCTAAGAGTTTCTGGTTATGAACGTAGGAACCTATATATTTGTAAGTATCTTCTTCTGTCCAGTGATGCCTATAGATGCTGCCTGTGTTTTCTTCTATATCGATATTTCATGTTCAAACTCCAGAATTTTTCACTGTGACCTAAAACATTTTACTCATACTGTGAAGGGATATTACATTCTTGTCCAATTTTGTTTTCTAGCTGATTTTTTGTTCAGACATGGTACTTACTAGAGGGTTCTCACTGGCAGATTTTAACTGAAGAGAAGGGCTTTCTTGAACAGGCCATTTAGGCCATAGTATACCCTTTGCTTACCTTTTGGATAATGCTCTGAAAGAAACAAAACTTGGAAGAAACTACTTAAATTGCTGACTGTCACCCCCTGCAGTCACTGTCAGCCAGACAGTATATATCAGAAGAGTATTGCAAGACATCTACTTCACTCCTCTAATCACAAAATGCTTCTCACTGTTTTGTAACAACCTTTGGAACACAGTAAAAGACCAAAACTGTTAAAAAATCTGCACAAGCAACAGGGCTAGATCAAGGGAACTGTCAGTTTATAATGTCCTGAGTTTATTCAGTAAATTTTTTGAACTTCTTGCACTTTCTACAGAGAAAAGCAGCCTCATTTTTTAATTTCTTCTATCCTGTCTTAACATTCTTTTCCAGTCTTAAATGCCCCTCCTGTCTCCAAATTCAATGATGGATTTAACACTTGAGGGTATGAATAAGGTATATAAATTAGGCACTTTGCCCTTATAAGTAAACAATACTTTAAAATAACAAATAACATGTGAAGAAGAAAGAATAATCAAATTTCCTTTTAACTCTTTGGATATAAAAAATACTGAAATTGGTATATGAAAAATACTGAATTTGGTACTTGCATGGAAAAAATCAACTTCTTGAATCACTTCCATGACTTACATTTTTTAAAAAAACATAATTGTTTCCATAAACATAAGTTTCATCATATAGTGGTTCTGATTCCAGAATACTGCAGAAGAGAGTCAAGCTACTTCTGTTCCTTTTGCTATTCTTGAACATTTCAGAAGTACACAGTTCTGAAGATCTCTGTATGTTCAAGCTCGCTTTTTTTCTTCTTCTCTCCTTGAGCTCCTAACTCTGCCATTGTTTCCTCCTGTGTTATTGTTCTTAAGGGTGATTCAGATAAATATATATCAGTTCACATGCTGGCAGCTCCTACATCGTTTATCAATTATATAGTAACACACTTTGCAGCACTACTTCATTTGAACTTAGCTGTTTGAAAGACTTTCTGCCTGCCTTCTGAATCATATTTGACCAGTGGAGCCTGAAAACCTTGGAAATCCTTTTTTTTTCTTTTTTTTTTCTTGGGCAGTCTATCATACTACTTACCCCATATCACTGCTTCTGGACTTTGCAAGAGTTCTTAAGTACAAGATGCACGGATGCAAGTGAGAAGCTGGCAGGACTTTGTCTTTGGGAGAGACTCAGCTTTGACAGTCATCAATGGGACTTAAAGGGCACTTTCAGTTCATTTATTTTTCTTAACTGAAAGGAAATGGAAAAAGATTCAGGACCATCCTACATATTCTTACTGACATATTATTATCAGTTATGTTGACAGAGTGGTTAATGGCTATGGGGTAGGTCTAAGGCTATTCATTTTAAAGCTGTATTTTCAAACAATTGTCTGAATGATCTCAAAGTGATCTGAAATTTGCAGTTGATGTATAAGCACTTAGTTAAAAGACAAAAAAAAACACCCTTTCTATATTCACATCTGCTATTCAGTCAAAAGTCATGTGCCATAACTATTACTTCTTCATGTATTAACCAGAAGAGATCAGGTCTATCGATGAATTCTGTTTCTAAATCTGTTCTGCTCTCAGCATCTCTACTAAAGACTGCCAGTAAATGTCGTAGTGTTCCTGTGATTTAAGAGGATACTCGTAAGGAACCAGATTTTGTTTGCTAATATTTTCAGCAGTAGCCACTAATTAGCTGTCACAAATTGAATATTTTATATACTTAGATAACTACTGGCATAAACAGCATTCTAACTAGCAGTTCTATCAATGATATCTTTCTCCATAATGCCTAAAGCTTTTTTTTTTTAAAAAAAAAAACTCTGAAATATGTTTAGCAGAGTGTAGCTGCTGGTCTTCTAGACATGGAGGTTGGTAGAAATTCTTATGAAAACAAAATTTTAAGGAAAGGAAAGTAAATTTTAGGGCTCAATTTATTTCCTTTCCTAAACAGGACAATTAAAAAACAAAGAAGCAAAGTGAGACAGGTCTAAAATTAGGCATAATAGTCTAAAGAATTTATGAGTTATTTTTTTCTGGACCGAAGCTTCAAATTAACTTCTTTTACCAAGTAATTACAAATAATCTGGGAATGTAGATTTTTTTTAATCCGTTCTTGAGCTAAAACATTTTATTCTCACTTTAAACTTTGTCAAGCTCCTATGTTATATAGAAAGAATGATTATTGTTTTAGCCATTATAAATTTAAATGGAAAATATGAGTACTTATTACATTATTGGACTTAGTCCTTCACAGTACTTGACCTGCAAATGAAGATCCTATGGAATTGATTTTTGAGGAGATGGAAATTTGAAAGATTATTTCACCATAGCAGAAAAAATTATCTCATTTTGAAAAATGTGTTTGTGATAACGATGTTAACAAGAAATTATTAGTTATTATATCTATGACACAGACCTGTGGATGAAGAAAATATGCCTAAATTAACAACCCAGCAAGGTTATCCCCATGAAATTTCTACCTACCTATTCCAGAACTATGTTAGATAATTTCTGCAAAAACCGCGGAGAGGAAAATGTGGATCCTGGGCATGGCTGGAGAAGGGAGGAGGATGATATAGAAGATTTTATTTTTAATTTTAACATATATTTAACTGGTTTCTTTCTGCAGAAAATGTTCTGTTTTAAAATTCGAAGCTTCATAGCAAAAACCAGTAAAACGGTCTTAGTATTATTTTATTAAAAGTCTGCTGTATGTTGGGAAATGGTTACATATAGAACAAAACTGAATTCTGTGTCAAAGATTATCACAATTTCTTGCTGAGGTCACAGTATAGTTTCATATTACATTACAAGAACATATTTTCCTGAAATCAAGACAACTTTGACATCCAATTGTAATAAGCAAGAATAATAGGAATAAAGTATCATTTTTTTTAAATAGTGCACAGCACTCCATATGATGATATCATAGAATAGCTTTTAGGATTACCGAGTAATGAGAGTCATCTCCCTTAGTACTTTTGGTGTAGTGAAGTAAGTAATTTCAGATGTTAGATGTATTTCATTTAGGTCTTGATGCTGCTTTAATTGAAATCCTAAGCAGAAGTTCCTTTTTTTTACTTTTTGGTAGCTGGGTGAATTGGAAATAAATTGTATATTTGAACTGGAAACATGAACCCTTGAGAGTAAGTTGCTTGATTCATTTTTATTTTTTTGCCAAAATTAAAACTTTATCATGAACTGCCATGCTGATGTAAACCATTTTTTTTTAGAAAAATGTTTCTGCATGTAATTCCATGGTAAAAGTAATTTGAAGTGGAATTATAAAGTACTGAAGAGAAGTGCAATGGCCTGAGTCAACCATGCATTCTTTTTTACTGCTGCTGCTGCTGCACTGTGTTTTGTTAAATATATAACCAAGGAAGAAAAATTAATTTAGCAGTGTTATGTTGATTTTATGAGAACATACTATGCTGAAATGAGTTACACTTGTGCCTGTAAACCTGACAGATTAAGTATGAGAAACCTGCTTACAGTTATTAATCTGGGATACTTCTTTAATTGAATAAAAATAGTCACATGCATTCTTTGAAGAGAAATGTCACAGTTGCATGATAATGTTCAAGGAAGATTTACCTTAATTTTTGAAGATAATCCTAATTTAGGATGCTTACTTTCTGTTAATATTAAGAAGAGGAAAAGACCTGTGAGAAGAAAGTGCTGGAGTATAGATGTGTGTGTGTGTGTGTGTGTACTTATACATAACATTTCTATTTATCAGTTGTAGCATGTTGGGAAGAGTGAGAAATCCAGGAAATTCTGATTATTTATAATAACCTGCCCTGTTTGCAAGGTTAGAATTTAGTTTTAGTAATTTTATTTTGCCTCCTGTATTTTCTTTAAGGTCTTATTCGATTACAAGAGCTCATCAAGGCTCCATCACGGTACAACCTGAGACTAAAAATTCGTCAGCTGCCAGCTGACACAAAAGATGCAAAGCCATTGCTAAAGGAGATGAAAAGAGGCAAGGAGTTCCATGTAATCTTTGACTGCAGCCATGAAATGGCAGCAGGCATCCTGAAACAGGTAATCCTCATTTTCCTTTAGAGAGCTTTAATCACTAATAAATAAAAGTAATATCCAATCTTAATAGCCATATACAAGCAAGGGATTTGTGTCAGTTTTACTGAGGCCTAATTGAAAATTATTTGAGACCTTCAGAGCTAATTTTGTAGGTGGCTATAATGATAGCTGCTTTCATTATGGTTTCTAAAGAAATAGATTCATCAGTCCATGTACAAGGGGAAAGGTATTTCCCTATACACTTTATCTGATGAAAAATATCAATTACAGCTTTTATAGCTTAGTACTTTGGAAAATTGATGTACAGATTTTAAAAATTTAAGACTCTTGTTTAGTGTAATTTTATACGATGAAGTTTTTTTTTTTTAATTGAATCTTCTAAATGATGTGTTTGTAATCAGATAATTGAGATATGAATGGTATCTTTTAACAATAGAAAACACAGTACTGTTCTGATTTGGTAGGTCACTTGAATGTCTTTGCAAGTTAATTTCCTTACCAGATGATCACATTAAGATGTTCCACCTACTAGATATTCTTAGAGTCACCAATAATAGGTGTGTAAAGTGTCTGAGTATCTCTGAATAGGTAATCTGCAAAACTCCTTGCTCTGTAGTGTACATGTTGAATAGCTATAATACAGTAAAATTCAAAATATTTTCTATCTGTATACTAAAGAAGCAGATTCCATTGGTGTTTTCCAAACCTATCATCACAGATGGTGGCTAGAAATTAAAGAGGTATGCAAAAGATACAGCTCATAGAAAGCTTATTGCATGCCTAAAATATGCAAAAGGACAGAGAATGTTTAGTGAGCTGGCTCCGGAGTGTGAGAATTTCTCACTTTTTGGCAACTATTTTTCTCTTTTTTTTTTTTTTAATTGAACTATACCTTGTGGTATGAGAAATGAAACAAAACTGTATTCTACATTGCTAATGCTGAGCTTTTACTGACTTTAAATCATATTTGTATTATATTTACCCTCTTGCTATGCCCTTTTTGGTTTGAAATTGAAAGTAAATCAATTCTTTCAGATTCAAAAAGAAATACCACTAATTAAAGGCACTTCTGGTTATTGTTGTGGGAACAATTAAAATGCTAAATAAACACTAGTAAATATACTCATATACTATCCTTATTACTTTATTGTAAATTGATTAAAATGCTTTTATTAATTCTTAGAAATTTCAAACTTCTGGCAGTGATGTTTGCTCTTCACTATGCATAAGACAGTGTATTCAGTTTGTTTAGCCTAGATCACTGAATGTACATTTAATTATTTTAGTATCTTAAAGGTGCAGGTGAAAAGTATGTAATTATGGCAGTATATAGCTGTTACACTAAGTCCACTGAGGTATAATATTTAAATAACTTATATATAAGGTATAATATATAAGGTATAATATTTTAAATAATTTAAATAATATTTAAATAAAATAAAAAATCTGTAGATACTAAAATGTCTAAATAAATCATATTAGGCTAAGACAGGTGTTGTGCAGAGTAAAAAGATACCATGGTACGTGTGCTTCTCAGTTGAAAGTGCTCTTAGTGGTTAGGGATGATGACACATTCTTAGCTTATTGCTTTAAATTTGTGCCTACAAATAATCATTCTGTTGGCAAAATGTTACAGGAATTTTAAAATACACTGTTAATCAGAAGCTAATATCAGAAGATAATATTTAGCTAGCAAGATAGATGCAGGTATTTGAGAGATATCATAATTCAATGAGTAATAATAGGAATATTTGTTATTTTTTCAGTACAACATATATCGTGCTATTCAGAATTTGAATCAAGAAGCTTTTCTTTCATGGTTGGAAAGACACACCTAAAAGATAACCTTGGATTCTTATTTTAAATTAATAATACTTTTCATCAAAGTAGAAAAATACTTTCTGTTACCTTATTTTTTATAAGGAGAGAGTTCAAAACTGAATGAGAATACTGTCATCTCAAATTTTGTGTGGCAACTTACTTTATCCATTAGTATGTAAAACTATAAGCCTCTTTCACATTTACAGCACTAAATAGTCTAATAATATTATTTCTATCAAAAGATCTGGTTCATAAGTTCCTTTAATAGTCAGTAATCTGCTCTAACAGCTAAGAAATGATTTGCTTGACCTAATTCTAGTATAATTCCAAACCTATAGTGTGATCCCACTAGTGTTCTGCAGCATTTCATTTCCCATGTAATGTGATAAAAAATGTGTTATATGAACTCAGAAACATTAATCTTTTGTTTGTTCTTTTTCAGGCTTTGGCTATGGGAATGATGACAGAATACTATCACTATATCTTTACCACACTGGTAAGTGACCTATAAAAACATACTGACATATCAATGCCTTTAGTTTTGTTAATTATATTACTTGACAAAGTAAAAAGGGTCTCTTTGGAATAAGGTGCAAGGATGGGATGTTTTTCCTGTTTAATTCTATTATACTCAGTGAAAAGTCATAAGGAAGGCTTAATTATTGTTCAGGATTGTTTCCTAGAAACTTGCAGACTGGAGAAAACTATTGGCTTTATAGCAATACTTAACTTTCAGACATGGCCAAATGGACAATTTATAATTTCCTTCTCTTACAAAAATAGGCCTTTTTCTCTTTTCGCTGTTTGTATGTAAAGATTATAATATTTTAATCTTATTCATCTATTCCAAATTCATCCATAATTTCATAATGTAAGTCTTCACTGTTGTGTGATTCTTGAATGATTTGGTGTGGAGGTCAGTAATCTTTTATTCAACTGTCCAGTAGAACTTGTTAGGCTATGAATTATGTGATATTCTTTGTTTTCCATTGTATGAGTGACCAAGAAGGAATTTGATCACTTTTGGAACCATCATACTTAAAATTTACTTGGCCAAATGCTAGCTAAGAAACACTTTAAAAATTTGTAAAATAATACACTAGAAACAAAGGTTATGTGCATTTCTCAGCTTACCATTGTACTGAAAATTGCCTGTTTAGATTGTAATTCAGTAACACCCTTAAAATAGATGTCATTTCAAGCATCAAGCCTTGGTAAAATTATGCTTAAAAAGACGTATGTTTAAAATAACATACATGTTTAAATTCTTCCTGGATTTAATCTTTGTGGTAAAATGGACAGTTCATATAATGAACTTTGTGAAGTTCATTAGAACTTCAAGAGAAAAGTACTCCAAAGAAGTATTTATCTTCTTTTAGAAGGGTAAGTTGTGCTGTCATTCCTGAATTTGTAAGATTACATATTAGAGGATTTTCCTCATTAGTCTTTCAAAATGGATTCTAGACTTTGCAATTTTATTTGGTAAATTTTCACTTATTATTGGTGAAAATTGCTTGTTTGATTACTTCTAGTACTTTGAGTACTGTCTCATTTGCATTTTATCTTTCCTTTTTAAAGTCATGTTAAAAATAAAGTTTTTTGTCATTTTTATTTCCTTATTGGAACATTAACTATTTATTTTAATTTAGAGAAATCACAGGATAATTCAATGGGTACAAACAGATCCTTGATTTTCACTTCTCGGTATATCTTTGGAGCATGCATCAGAATTTAGTTGTTTGATTTATTAATTGCTTCTTACCTACACAGTGGAGGCCTGTCAAATACATTTTCTAGTAAAAGTGTTTACAGCAATTTTCTGTGCATTTGCAGTGATTAATTCAAGGTCTAATGCAGTAGCTCATTCTTTTACTGGAATATGTGTGGTCATATTATGTACATATAATACTGCTGTGCATATTTATTAAGGTGTTAATGTACATATGTTTGGATTAGGCAGTTACATCTGAGGCTCTGATTATTTATTTATTTATTCCCCAGAAGGATAACTGTATTACAATCTTAAAGACAAAAATGCTGGATGGGAACTAAAAAACGTGTTGTAAAGTAGTTCCAGTTATGTTCAGCCTTTCCTTCAGCAACAAATTTTTATTTTTTTATAGAGACCATGAATTAGATCATTTCTACATGGATAACCTGCAAAAAAATTTTTTATGATGCACTTAGCTAACCATAATGAGTCATGATTGTTTTGTTCATCACCTTAATCTGAGGTTCCGTCATGTTTAAATTTGACCTTACACTTGAATTTTCTAATGTCAAACTTTAGTTCTGTCTTGTTTCTGAAAGTCTATTGAAGGCTTAGGATGACGTTAAGTTTATTTGCTTGATCTAAAATTTGATTTTTCTTCTCTTAAATCATTTCTACTTGTGTGTATGCATGTGTAAATGTATATGCATAATACATATTTTGAAAATTCATTGATTGCAAATGTTATGCTTCTGGAGAGAAATACCTAATAAAAGATAGATAGTTTATAAGTATAGCAGATGGATGTGAAGAATGTTTCTATTTAAACCTGTTTATCATTTCAAGCATGTATCTGGTAGGTCATACAAAGATCTAATACTAATCTTCTTAGTAATTAATAATAATATTTAAGCTGGATCATTTCTAAATGATACAGTTCTGCAAATGGACTTTGCATTTCCTAAAATGATTTTTAAAAGGAAATTGAATATTTTATTTTTCTGTGAACCAAATCATTCCCATTGTAAAATCAGTTTAGTCTTTTGCTTACCAAATGAGAAAACAGATTTCTAAATAAGCAGCACATGATGTATTTTCTAGCATATATAGTACTGTGCATGACAAGGTTCAGTGCAGATGTCTAGGGAGATGGTCAAACAACAGAATATGAATTGCAGTATATTAGATGATTTATATGACGATCATTTTTTCCAGGACTTATTTGCCTTGGATGTGGAACCCTATCGGTATAGTGGTGTTAATATGACTGGATTCCGAATTCTAAATACGGAAAATACCCAGGTGTCATCAATCATTGAAAAGTGGTCTATGGAGCGATTGCAGGCACCTCCTAAACCTGATTCAGGCTTGCTGGATGGATTTATGACGGTATGAATATCAATTTTTGTGTCTTTTTTTTTGTATATGCTTGGGAAGATTAAAAAAAGCCTTAACTTCTCTTTCCTATCACTGTATTTCCTTGAGACCAAATCTTACTCTGATTAATAGTCAGAGGATAGCTGTGGTATTTGTTATTCATCCAGACCATATTTTCCTACATTGTTGGTGAAAATGCTCTGTGAGACTAGATGAACCCTGCAAAAGTCAAGATAAATTACATTATTTACAAATGAGTACAAAATTTCATTGTGTTTCTTTGGAAGATTCCAAGTCAAATTACCAAGTATGTGTCCTGTTGACTGCAGTTGGGGCATTCCTTGTTTCTAGGATGTTGCTCAGGAAAGGTGGGAAGGACAAGCATATTTGAGAAGACTACTGACAATGAATTAATTATTCATCATATTTTACTTTCCTTTCAGGTTTTCTTTTAAATGGGCTTTGGGAGAATAAATTTAAACTATTTAGTGAATGCTACTATATTTAATCACTCCATTATTTAATAAAAAAATCCTTAACACAGAAAAGAAACCCATTCTGATTAATAACAACACAACCATCTTTGCTCATTCAGTGATGCAGGAAGATCCTGTTTATCTTCCCACATTTTTGGTTTTGGATCTACACATGTGTAAGAGTATACCCATGGGAGTATACACAAGAGTTTTGTTTGTAGAGAGTTCTTATGATAAGAGCTTTGCTTGTAGAATTATCTGTAGGCATCAAATAGATGCGATTTCTAGTAAAGTCTAAATAAATTGGTGATTTTTAAATAAAGCTGTGTGAATATAATTTTAAATTAGTACATAGAAGTTCTGAGTGAGGGTCTGGAAGGAATGTTCTACTCTATTAAAAGGTTTTCATTATGACTCATAGAATCATAGAATGCTTAAGGTTGGAAGGGACCTCTAGAGACCATCTAGTCCAACCCCGCTGCACACACAGGGTCACCTAGAGCACATGACACAGCACTGCGTCCAAGCGGGTTTTGAAGATCTCCAGAGAAGGAGACTCCACGACCTCTCTGTGCATCCTGTTCCAGTGCTCTGTCACCCTCACTGTTAAGAAATTTTTAACATCACATCCCTCTTGTACTGTGGAGCCCAGAACTGGACACAATACTCCAGATGCGGCCTCACCAGGGCTGAGTAGAGGGGCAGGGGCAGATACTCATATATCTTAAAAGATTCCATTTGTACTTTAAGGGTTCTTTCATATTTATTTATATATTTAGGGAAAATAAAAGTGCTTATCCTCCTAATAAATCAATTACAATCTATATGTGTTGCTCTCTCTTTGACTGTCTCTCTCCCTCCCCCTCTCTCTCACACACACACAAGCACATGCATGCACAAAGGTGTGCACATGTACAGTATGGCTTATGAAATCAGCTTCTGAAAATGTTGTGTCAAATGCTCACATAAAAACAGCGATCAGAGTATATTAAGTATATTGAGGACTATTAAGTATTTTAATATATTACTCTCATCACGATTTTTATATGACCATCCTGTATTCTTATTAAATGGAAAAAAAGAACTATATGGTGTATTTGAATTGAACATAACATGGAGCAGGCACAAGTGAGAGTAGTTATTTCATCTAATATAAGTACAGGAATATTTACTGATAATTCTGTCACAGGTAATAAGCAGTACCTTTAGAAATTACCATTAAAAGAAAAGTCAAAGACTAATCTATTTCAATTCTTTGTCTTTTTTATTAATAAAATTAACTATGTCTGGAATTTCTAAATCTTTTTCTCATTGTATACTTGCTTCTTTTGTTATCTTTATTACCATTGAAATCCCAATGAATATTGAACTAAATCTTTGCCCAGGTTAAATACAAAGTGGGGACGTTTTCAGACTAGTGTGAATTTTGTAATGAAATTTCACTTGATTCTTCAATTTCTGATACAATACATAAATATTGTAAAAGACAATACATAAATGCCTTTTTTTTTTTTTAACTTTGGTTTCTTAGCTGTTTCCAAATAAAATCCCAAATGGGTCACAGCTGTAAGTCTGTTACAGTCTAATAGCTAGTTGTCCATTCATTCACATACTTTGCTTTCTGTTTCTTAGTGTTCGCTCAATGATTAGCACCACTAAATTCGTTTGCTAGCAGTTCAAAATGCACATTTGTAAAGTTAGTCTGTGAGAACTGTGGGTACTTAGCTGTTGAACTTTCTTCCTCTGACAAGCTTAAATATACTAAAGGTATATTAAGGAAAAGCAATAAAAATGGTTTGATCACATACATGACTGGATGAACAATGATTTGTTTTTTGCTTAATCATGCCATTAAATAAGATTTTTATTTCTTTATTTACTTCAGATACTAGAAAGTTTTAATTGAATTATTTAGACATATTTTACAGGGCTGTAGAAGCTGTATAAAAATAAAGAAGTCAGCAGGATATTTTTCCTGTGGTACAGACTAGTTAAGTCAAATACATGGATGTCCTTCAAAAAAAAGGGACTGAAATACTGAAAGTTTTTGAAGTTATCTCCAAACTAAATATTTGGAGGTGTATGTCGCAAAAATTTGTTCCTTTTGTATATGTGCACCTGTAGCTTTACTGATATGATTTGCCTGAAAATATTTCTGTGCTGAAGACAATGAAGATAGCAGAATTAGAGGCCCTGTAGCTAGCTTGAAATGCAGGTATCTTTGTGTTATTATTGCTAGACTGTTTCTAGACTAAATTGAGGGTCTTTACACAATTCTCTGGTATGTGGTATATGAATTAATGTTACTTTTCTCTAACTTTAAACTAAATTCTGAATTTGAAAGCAGTTGCAATTTAGTATTTCCTGAGCAAGGCCTCTCAATATTAAAAAAAAAAAAAAAAAAAAGGTTTCTTCTTGAAGGAATTAATTAATAAGATAAACTAAAAAAGTCAGAACCAAATCAAAATATTTAATCGTATAACTAGCTTTTAGTTCATACGAAGTCTAATTCAAAATTTATTTTATTTTATTTTTTTTCAAGAATTCTTTTTTATCTGCATGTGGTCTGGGTCCCCAGTGAATGTGGATTTTCCTGTAGGATGGAAAAACTCTGTAGTAATAATCACCGAGTATTTTGTCAAATTGTAACAGTATCATATTAATCTATCCCGTATTAACAGAAACATACTAATACGGCAAAACAGGGAAAAGTCGTGCTTAAACTAATTTCACAAAACCTGACCATGATATACTTGCATGATAGCATGAATTGAGTGGTATGGGTTCATAATTCTTCTACTATACAACTATTAATTTTCCACATCATTCTGTGCCTCAAGTCATAACTTAGCATGCATAATTAAGATGACCTAACAAGCAGTGTTGCTTCATTAGCATAAAGTTTTCCTTGATAAGTGCTTTGCTTATCGTCTGATTCAGTTATCTGCTTTCATCTTATGTAGAAATGAGTGTGTTTTTTTCCTTCTGAGTATTAATTCCATTCTTTAATGTTCACTTTAGTAGCAAGATATGGCAAGTGCCGTGAAGCACCATGGTACTTGGAGAATCCTATACCTAAGGTCAATATTTAAGTGTTTCCTCAGGAAATCACAGTTTAGATCTAATATGTCTAGTAGGCAGCCAAGTAGAGAGGAATATGATATAGTCCTATGAATGCAAAGTATGTGTAGCTTTTCTTTCCCACTCTTATACCTCACATTTATTTCTTACAAATTTTTAAATTCTCTATTCTTTTCTGGATATAATGTAGCTTAGATCCTTTCCACAATGAAACATTTCTCAGCAGCTTGAAAATAGCTGTAATATAATTTAGAGTACAATTAAATACTCAAGGCAAGAATACAGAGATTTGTTGTATGGCCAGAATAGGTTTAGGAGGTTTATTATGAGGTTTATGAGTTTTTGGGTTTTTTTAGGGGGACCGAGGTGGCGGGGGGCGGGTTGGGTGAGAGGAGGCGATGGGAGGAATTTTTATCTGATTCAGAGAGATGTTTTATGAATAAAGATATGTATTTTTTAAAAAGCTGAGGTATTTCGTTTCCTCAGATAATGAGAATAGATCCATGGAGATTTTCTGTAAATATATAACTGTAAATTTATTGCCTTTACACATTCCGCACAATAGAAAGAATATACACTCCATTCTATGCACAGAGTTCTCCATAAAATTCATTTTGAAATTAGTCATTTTGACAGTTAAATAACAAAGATTAGGTTATAATTACTTCAGAATTTGAATGTGGAAATGAAAGAAAGAATAAATAATGTTGGATTTGTAAGTGTGTAGGCATTTTTCCCCAAATAATTCTTCCTATTTGCACAGCCACAGATAGCTGGTGGATACCTTCATGTATTCAGTGCATATACTTATGGTTTGCTTTTTGTTTTCCTCAATCATAAGAAAGCTTCCCATATATATATATATTTCTTTTCAAGATGCAGGTCTTGTGACTCTAAGGTGAACTATAGTGTATGTTAATTTTCATATTCTTATCTTTGTGGTCGTGCATGTTAGTCTAATATCCTCAGAAGATTATCTGAATCCAATGATAAGACAGAGAACTATTAAAGGAAAGAATGGTGTGTTTTTAGTTACATTGAATTGTTTCCTTTGAAAAAATCCTACAATGAGTCTGACCAATGTGTAAAGGCCAAGTTAAATGGCCAGCTGTAATCAGGGAAAGAACCTGATATCATCAGAATCCTTCAGCTTACTTCTTGATAAAGCTTTTTGAATTGTGTTAAACTAATTTGATTAAGGTAATACAATTGAAAAATGTACAATTTTCCCCTTCTAGAGAAAATTGGAAGAGATTAATAGGGTGAGGGAAAAATTGCAACTATGGCACTTGTAGTTCAAGAGCCATCTGGAACTCAAAAAAAAATCTTTTTTTTTAAAAGATCCAATTCTTCATCGTAATATATCCAAGACTTACTGAAGCTTTTTTTTAGTGAAAATGAAAAATACCTTCTATGTCAGCACATTTGACATGACTGATATTGAGGACATTCTTT